CTTCATTTTCTGAAGAAGGGTCCCGACCCGAAACGTCAGCTTTCCTGCTCCTCTGATGCTGCCTGGCCTGCTGTGCTCATCCAGCTCCACACCTTATGATATCATACTTGATTGTGCAAAGTCAGATTAAATCATGATGTAATTGCAGGGGAAGGGAGGAGCAGCAATTCATGAAATCTCCCAATAAATTTAGAGACTTGGGACACCAGAACTTCAGGGCTACATCGAGAATCTGCATGTCACAAACAGACCTAACAAGGAATCTGCAACAGTCCCTTTTACAAGTCTTCAAAGACATTCCTAGTTAACTCCAACAATTAAGATTTGTTACAGTTCTGAGGAAGGGTCACTGGACCCGAAACATTAACTGATCTTTTTCTTCACAGATGCTGCCAGACTTGCTGATCTTTTCCAGCACATTCTGTTTTTGTACCTGGAGAGTGCAAGTTAATTAAACTTTTTGAAATTTCAGATAGGAGAACTGACAGTCTTCAAACAAAAATCACCCCACAGCTTATATGCAGAAAAATGCATGAAACTCCATTAAAAACGTTTTTAAAAATGCAATGATTAGAGAAACAGTCAAATGTCAGTATATTAAAAAAAGCAAACGGCCTATTTAGATTGCTATACTTGGAGGTTCCAAATGTAACAGATGTCTGAACTCTGCAGACTGCCAAACAAATAAGGAGAGTTGAGATCATTAAATTAACTTCAGTAAACATGCAAGTCTTCAAGTGAAATACAAAGACAGTTGAGACTAAATAAGAAACGTACTTACTTAAGGATCATCTGCGATGAACTATGATTGAAAGTATATCCACCAAACACCCACATAAACTTTCCATATACAATAGCCTTGTGAGATGCACGGCTCACGCTGGGACTAAAGGGTTTAATGTTTGGCAGTACCCAGTAGGATTCCATTGATGGAACTGTCAAAGAACAATCTGGTCCTAGAATACAAATGTAATATTTCAGTTGTTCTGTGATGCGCATTCCTTGACAACCCAGGGACATACAGCAGCAACTCACTAAATAAAATAAAATTCAATGTTAAACACACAATCTTATTTGAAACAAATGCTACTTAAAAGTTTACATTTTCATTGTCAATTAATGGTCAGAACAATGAACATTAAAATCTACATATGTAAATACACTGCAGAATTTGAATTCTCAAAAAAAAAAAAACTTTGAAACGTGCTGTTTCAAAATGCATCCAGTAACTAAAACAAAAGCACTAAATTTGGTTGACATTTAGAATCAGACAGCCATTTCGGTACAAAAGCCAGTCATTCAACCCATTAAATTCGTGCTAACTAAAATACCCCATCCCTGAAACCATGCTGGTAAATATCCTCCTCACTCCTCAAGGACACAAATCCTTTCCAAAATGTGGTACCCAGAACTGGACCTAATACTTAATTGTCGACAAACTATAGCTCTACATAGATTCAAAAAAAACTTCCCCACTCCTTTAATTTAAATTCCATGTTTAAATTGATCAGATCCAAAACTCCACTGCTAGCCATTCTCATTATGTTTAGATCTACACACATGCACCTCAGGGTTAAACGGTTTCAACTGTGCCAGTATGCAGTTGTTGTGTGGCAAAGTGGTTGTGTGTGCTTGGAGGCAACTCAGGTTTTTCTCCTGTGGGCATGCAAATGCAAGTTTTTACAGAAGTTCAACAGCAAATCTTATGGGACAGATCAACAGCCACGGATTCTCGCCCCCACTGGGGTCCTTCTGGGGTTGAAAGTACAGGTGCCATGTTTAAAGACCTCCTAGTTGACCTCAATTCACTGCAAGCCTACAGCTTCATAACGGCATACATTGGTTACCACCACCCCCTCAGAGTTTCTAGATCAAACAAAACCTGGCCCGAAGTTTCACAACGTCCCATGATAGATTCTGGTCTAGGCAATCCAGGAAATAAAGAAAGCAATTTTCCAAACAATAACAGCAGGAAGCTCTTCCATCAGACCAAGACAGGTGTATGGGTCAGTGCCCTATAGGCAGCATAAATTCATCCAAAGTGCAACAAGGGGTTAAATGATCTCCAGTGCTCTAAGGGCAAGTGTCATGTCCATTTGCTACAAACTTACATTCATAAGGGCACTCAGTCTGAGTTGCATTACACAGGTATGTCACATAGGACAAAAAAACTGAAAGAACTGCAGATGCTGGAAATGAGAAACCAAAAGCAAACAAATTGCTGGACCCGAAACATTAACTCTGCTTTCTCTCCACAGATGCTTGCAACAGACAACTTTCCGAGTTGAGTTTCTCCAGCAATTTCTGTTTTTGTGTCACATAGGACTATTTCCTACAAGCCTCAGCACCACATAGACGATCTGCACTCAAAAGTTGACAGCCACCTCACGCTGTGAATGCTCTCTCAGTTGCAGAGTATCTAACAGCCATTCCTTTACTGGGCAAGGTTCTAGGCCAAATACGACTATGCAGACAATAAAATCACAATCCATCTTGCCCTGTTCAAAGGACAGAGCGCACAAGCCCACACAACTGGAAGGATGCTGGATATTCACATTGTCACCCCTTTCAAAGGGCAGGCCTCAAAGTTGGTAGGGTCGGACCATGACCGCCCCTACACAAATGGAGAAATACATCTGTTACAAGAAGCCAATGAAAAAGCCTCCATTATGTATGGTTCACTAGTCCTCTTTTCTCTTACCCAGGTACTAACAAATACCAGAAGACAAAGCACATCTGTTTCCTAGCACCAACATCTCAGAGGAAAACATCCCTCAAACGTCAGAGGATGCATAAACAAGGTGTTCATCTGCACCCTCCACCAGCAAAGAAACATTCACCTTGGTAGATCCATTATACAGAGTGGGCTCAAAGACACGCTTTGGGCAGTGTATCACCAATACTGAGGACTGCTGGAGACCAGGCCTCTGTTCAGCCCCTTGAAAATGACATGTCTCTCTTCTAGAACATATGGCAAAGATGCAAGACACCCTAAAATGATGGAGCCAAAGATGAAGGAGTTCAAGCTGTAGCATTTGTAGCATTTCTGGCGGATGAACACATGGCTGCCTCTCGGGAAAGAATGATGGCTGTTTTGGAGAACCAGGACCAGCAGACCATACAGTGGCTTCAAAAATGCACTGGGACTCAGACTTCATCACTGTAGCCATTGTACATGGTATCAATGGCAAGGCAAGAGGCAACCAAGGCTTCCTTGACCTCTTTCCAGGTATCCATTCATATCAAGGGGTCAGGGAGGTGCAAGTGGATATACACGCAGGAAATGTTCAGGCAGGTGCCTAGGGAAATGTGCCCTGTTTCTCAATCTCTCTTTTTTCAGTGACCTCACTGCCCACAGCAGGTCAAGGCAAAGTAGCGTCTTCCAGGAAACTCTCAGCAGGCCAAAACTTTCTAGGCCCATGCCCCAGAAAACACCCGCTATGGTGAGTACAGTCAGCCAGTTGTCTCCAACTCAGCTGTAAACGTCAGGGCAGCAAACATTTCAGGAGGTGAAAGACAACAATATTTTGAGACCACAACGTTGGAACAGGAATTCGGTCATTGTATATAATTCGTACTTCTGTAAATTCATATTTACAGCATGCAAGTTTTCTATAGTCTTGCTACTCTGTAATCGTTGGCTGAAATGAAAAGAATGGACCAGTTTCTCAATTGTGTCATGTGAAATGTTGTACCTTTCCTCTGCAACAGAATGAAGACTCATTTCTGTCATCAGCCAGGTCTTTTGGTGTAGCCTCATCTCCTTGTAACCCCCAAGGGATATTAATAACTCCAGAATGTAGAATTTGTGACGACTCCCTGCATACCAAGCACACAGCTGGAGCATTTGGGTGGTGTAGTTACATAGTGACGTATATTACAGGAGAGGAACTCTTTCCAGTTCACAAAGAGTTAGTAGTTGCCAGAGAGCTCGGATGACATTGTGTGTACAATCAATAGCGTCTTGCAGCTGAGGGAAACCTTCTATTCCAGCAAAGCTCGGCATCACAGCTACATGGTTCTCTGTATCCAAGGGCAATTTCACAAATTTCATGGACTTTTTCAAACAGAGTATCAATCACATCCTGTACATGAGTGGTTGACAAGAGAAATTCCACAGAATCCCCAGTGGATCAATGGTAGTTAAAGACAGCTGCCATGATGCTAGAAAATTCTGTTTCAAACCAACAATCATTAGTTGCTGTGGATGAGTTGCCTGATTCTTGTGCCTCTGCACACTAGTCCACAGCCTATGCCACTTGCTACTCCTGTATCCTTCCATGCTGGTTCCTCTTCAGTCGCAAGACGGTGAAAAGGACAGGGGTCTGTGGGATTGCATCATAATTGGTTGCAGACCTGTGGAGATAGTTCATCGATGCAGTGTCATCATTCACTTTGAGCTCTGCCCTCCAAAATCTTCTCCATGGTGCCTTTGCTAAAGCCTTGACTTAACATTTCTCTTCCTCTGGCCTCCTTCCAATCAGCATACACACCACGGTAAGGTCTATCCTCTGTGGCACCCAACAACCAAGCAAATCAGGTGCACGGAGACAGTGCATTTTGGTCAGGGAATTTAAAGAAAGTCAGTACACTTCTCGGAAGATAATACTCAGTCTCCCTTCAGGGAGCCACATTCTTCCCATTTGCCACTAACTGCACTTGGAGCCTTCACAACTTACTTCCACCTTCAAGTAGTCTTAATTACAAGCACTTGTTTAAAAGCACAGGAAGTCATCAAGGTTGCAGGTACGCAACTCTTAAATGTAGCAAGGTACTTGAGGGCACAGATTTCTTAACCAGGTAGAACTTAATTGGGATGCGTTATAAAATTCCAGCAAGTTGTCTTTTTAAGGAAATACAATGCATACGGATTGGTTTTCCCACACCCGCAGTCCTCAATATTGAAGACCAGAGAACTTGACTCAAGAAGTGTTTCTCTCACTGGCTCAATTAAGCTTTGTTGCTGGCCATTCTTCTCACCACCTCCAGAACTGGAAAATTCTGCCCACTGTCTCTTTCCTAATCCTTCCCTCAAAAATCATTACTTTACACTTCTTAACATTAAATTCCATCTGCCAATTGTCTGCCGACTCTGTTCGCCTATGTCCTATTTTGTTTACTATTATTGCATGGGGTGTGGGCACCACTATAAAAGTTGATATTTGTTGACCATCCCTAATAGGTGGTGGTGAGCCACCTCAATGAACCATTGTAGTCCATTTGGTGCAGATACAGCCCCAATCCTGTTCAGAAGTTCGTTCCAAGATTTCATGCATTGACACAAGAAACAGCAATATAGCTTCAAGTGACGTGCTATTTGACGGAAAATTTGTTAATTGGAAAACTCTCCACATATTTTCCGCTCTAATCCAAATCAATTACACTGGAGAGATTGTGTGTTCAGAAGATGCTAATTAATAAGGCCTGATAAGCTCCTCAGTGCATCTTGAAAATGGTACGATGGCTGTGCATCAGTGTTGGAAAAAGTGAATTGATCTCGAAAGGGTTCCAATCAAGTGGACTATTCTGAAGGGGTACAAGACACCAAACGTCAACTGTTTCTCTTTCCACAGATGCTGTTAGACCTGCTGAGATTCTGCAGCAATTTGTTTTTGTTCACATATCCACAATTCTGTTGCTTGGTAGGAGAGAATAAGCATTACCGAAAAAAAAGACCATTCTTTGAAACATTTCATCTTCAATCATCAAGACATCTCACAAGAATACCAATTCAAGGGGAAAACTACCATTTAAACTGCATGAGAAGGGAGTACTAATTGGTGATGTTGCTGCCATGGAAAATGGATATATTAATGCTGGACAGTTGACATATTAATATCGAGACCCATTTTCTGCTGACAGCAGGAATACGTATGGCACGCTGGCTGAGTGCTTAACACTGTTGCCTCACTGCGCCAGGAACTCGGGTTTGATTCCATCCTCAGGCAACTGTGTG